CCACCTACAAGGAAATTACCACCACAAATCATTTTGTTTTCCTATCAGCAGAGAAACCTGGCTGTACAGGACCACAAGCAGAGAACACATATACAGAGCAGAAGTGATTTATGTTCAAGTCCCACTTCTCGGCCTAGGACTTGGTTTCCTACCTGATTTCTCAGCAGCAGATTTTTTTCACTAGCAGCAGACAAATCATGCAAAAGCTTGTCTTCCCGATCAGCACTTTCCTGCAAACAGAATCAAAACTAAAATCCTGTACTCAGTTCTTGCACTATCAACCTGTACCAACCAACATCACACCCAACTAAATCCAGCCTACCCCACAGACACCACAGATCCTCTGCACACCTAGCACTCACCTACCTAATTTACACAAGAATTTTTGCCGTGGTAGCTTGTAGTTAACCCACTGGTAGTAAAAATCATGCTTCCCTATCCCTTCCAGCATCCCCCAAACATACACAAACCACCTATGACCTGGAACCTTGCTCTCAAACCTAACTAGTACTTTTCCAGCTCACCTGCCTCTGTTGCTGGAGCTCCTTAAAGTGGGACTCAGCCACACTGGTTTGTTCCTGTTTCATGGCATTCAGCAGCTCTCCCAAGTTGTGTACCTTCTGCTCAGACAGAGCCAGGGCAGCTTCAGTCATCTGCAGCCTATCCAGAGAAACACCTTCCAGAGCCTTTTCCAAGGCAGACGCTGCAGTGAGCTCCCTATGCTGCCTGGAACAAATTGCTAACACCTATCTGGCAATAGATGAAATCAGGCTAACTGAAGAATTTTTCTGCCTCTAGGAAATGGATACCACTGACTGCTGTACCCACCAGCATCTGCAAATAGGGATCTGGGACTTGTCAGAGCCTGGTGTTCTGACACCCATTGCATTTTGCCTGTGCTGTCTCCCATGAGATGTTTTTCCCACCCAGACCCCTATATCACAGTATACATAGGAAAATCCCACCCCATACCACTATAAGTTTGTTTAAAATTAGAGACAGAAGTTTAAACATGGGTAGCAGAAGCGATTTGCTTATTCTGTCCCTGAGGGACATGTCTGCACCGAGGCAAGGCATAATAGAACTGCCTGTACCTGGCAGAACTGAACTCGCCAGGCTCAGCAGTGTTTGAAGTCCAACCACTGCTGTGCACGTATGGCTTTGCACAACCTAACACAGCTTTTGGGCAGCTCCACCTCACTGCTCTTTGGTCAAGCTCCTCTGTATCTGCAGCAGCTCTCAGACAACACTGCCAGCTGCCAGAGGAAGCAGGTACAGACTCTTGCCAGGCTGTAAACCATGCAAGGAACACACCCCCATCCCATCTGCCCAATCCTTTTTCTTCCTTTTCACCCTCTGTAATTCACTTGCTCCTGCACCAATGCACTGTAATTTTACTTAAAAGCAGGTTAAGTATCTAGTGTGGCAAACCCAAAGGCATGATCTGACTGTAATTTCTGGATGTTACTGCAGAACTAAGCAAAATAGTAAGGCAGCTACTCTACAAGATTATTCCCCTTCTCAGCAGCTCTGCTCAGCATTGCATATACAGCACAGACAGTGAAAGGGGAAGGTCTTCCTCCTCCATACTTGGCTTTCAGTGAATTCACAATGGAGTAGTGCTCATCCAATGCTTCCTGCAGCTGGCTGATTTGTGCTGCAGACATTCTGCATTTGGGAGGGAAAACAGAGGGAAAACCAAGGTGGGTTATTTCTGCCAAGAAACGGAGATGGCTAATTTCTGTCATCAAAGAGCAGAAAGCATCTAGAAATCCAACTCACCTCTCACTCCTGGCTTTTTCTTCTTTCTGCTTGTCTACAGTGTCCATAAGATCCAAGAACTGTGAACAAGGCAAAATTCAGTGAGAAAATGAACTGCATCAGCTTGAAGCACTGACATTTCTCATCTTTCTCTTCCCAGCTAAAGCCACTCTGTTGGAAGTAAACTGGAAGTTTGATGGGTTTATAAGGACACCTCAATGAGGTCATCAGCTACAGGGACTCTGCACCCTGAGGTGTCAGCAGCATGAAAACAGACATAGACCTCTAGGTTTTCACCATTTGGAAAATATCAAACCAGTTGCAAAAGAACCAAAAGCACAAATATGGGAGAAAAAAAATCACCAGACCTCATGCAGAATCCAGAGTAAACACGTTC